CACACTCTGTTGGGTCACCTTTTTTTGGAATGCGAATGAATATGGATCTCTTCCAGCCAGTTGACCAGCTAGTTGTCCTCCAGATTTCTTGGCACAACTTTGTGAGCACATGCAGGGCAGCATCTGTTTGTTCAAATACATCAATTGGTATTCCATCAATTCCTGGGGCTTTATTTTTCGCCAAGTCTTTCAGACCAGCCTGCACTTCCGATCCATTGCCTTTTGCTCATATATTGTTACTTGAAATTTGGTCAGCCAATTCTTTTTGGTACAATGACTCTGTATGCGCCTTCCATCTTCTTTTAATGCTTCTTGAATCATTCAATATTCTGCCTATGGCATCCTTAAGCATTGCAACTAGTGGCTTGAATTTATTCTTCAGTTTTTTCAGCTTAAGAAATGCTGAGCGAGTATGGCCCTTTTGATTTTCCAATCCAGCTCCTTGCACATTTCATTGTAATAATTTGCCTTGTCTTCCCAAGTGACCCTTTGAAATCTTCTACCCAGCTCCTTAACTTCTTGATTTCTTCCCTTTGCTTTGGCTTCTTGGCACTCTAGTGCAATAAATATTCAGTCTCTTCTGAGATCCATTTTCATCTTTTCTTCTTTTTTCCTTCTTTTTAATGACTTTTTGTATTCTTCATGAACGATATTCTTGGCATCTTCCCACAGCTTATCTAGCCTTCATTCTTTAGTGTTCAAGGCCTCAAACCTATTCCTGAGTTGGTTTTTAAATTCATGTAAGATAGACTGAAGGTCAAATTTTGATGCCTGTGGATATGATTTAATCTTATTTAGTTTTAATTGGAACTTGCATATGAGCAGTTGATACCTGGCCTAGTTGATACACAGTTAGTACCTGGCCTAGTTTTCACTGCTGATTTCGAACTTCTCCAACAGTTCCTTCCACAGATGTAATCAATCTGATTCCTGTACACCCCATCAGATGAAATCCATGTGTATAATCTGCATTTATGCTTATGATAAAAGATATTTGCAATGAATAAATTATTGCTTGTACACAATTCTATCATTCTACCCCCAGCCTCATTTCTGTCACCAAGTCCATATTTTCCAACTGCTGATCCTTCCTGATTCCCAACTTTTGCATTCCAGTCACCCATTATTATTAATGCATCTTGGTTACATGCTTGATTAATTTCTTACAGCAACAGTTGATAGAAAATATCTATTTCCTCTTCTTTGTCTCTGGTTGTAGGTGCATAAATTTGAATGATAGTGGTATTAACAGGTCTTCCTTGCATGCATATGGATATTATCCTGTCACTCACAATATTGTATTTCAAGATGGATCTAGAAATGGCCTTTTTAACTGTGAAAGGGACCTTGTATTTTCCCCTCACCTTTTCATCTCCAGCATAATAGATCATATGATCATGGGATTCAAAATGTCCCATGCCAATCAATCTTATTTTGCTAACACCCAATATGACAATATTTATGCGTTCCATTTCTTTCTTTACAATGACCAGTTTTCCTACATTCATGCTTCCCACGTTCCACCTACCAATTACCAATTTCTTCTTACAACTGTTTCTCCTTCTTTGTGTTTCCAAATTTGAGGGCTCAACTTCAGTTGCCATATCTGTTAGTCTACTCCAAGTGTGCTCTGCTGTACATAGGGTTTTCAAAGGCCAGTTAAATTTGAGAAGTGGATAGCAATCCTTTTTCCTAGTCTGTCTTAATTTGGATGTTTACTGTTAGAAGAATATCTGACAGATAAGCATTTTACCTACCAAATGAAAGACACCCACCCCCAGCACATGTGACTTGTCTCTATCCTTTCCCTGCTACATCCCCATTCCGTTGTCCATCTCTTGTTTAGGAGGATTGAAGAGATGGGAGCAACCCAAGTAGCCACCTGAATGAAATAGCTCAGTCACAAAAGGGAAAATACTGCATAACACCACTGCTATTAAACAGGACTGACATGGGGGGTTGGGGAGAAACTAGGAAACTAGGGACAGATAACGAATACAGCATTGGAACAGATGAAGGAAAGAACTGTTAAAAAGGAATATATGATTAGGCATTGTTTGTATGACAGCAGTCCAGAATAAAAGGTGCATCGCAAAGTGGACTGGGGGTGGGGAAGGGAGGAAATTATGCAACATTGAATGAATATTTTTTAAAAAGTGAACGAGGGGGGATAGGGAAGAAAGTGTGTAAGAATAATGAATGAAAATTCAACTTTTCTATAAACTTTCGTTAACATAACAATTAAAAAAGGGGGGGGAAGAAAGTGGAAAGAATAATGGAAAGTGTGACTTGGGGGACTGACTGGATAAAAGAAGTGGAGATCCTAATAGGAAGAAGCATGAGACCTTTAGTATATGCTTCCTCATCAGTTCCCCTTATTTCAAATGGATAGTTTATATTTCCTCAAGGTTTTGTAAAATTCCAGGTAATTGTCTAAGTGGGACTCCTAATGGGATTACCATGCTGGTGTCTCATACTGTAATCTATAACTCTGTGGGTGTGTACGTTATGGTCTAATTATAAAGGGAGAAATTGATACTGACAGAAAACCTTTATGTTTGGAATTTTAAGATTAGTTTTCAATAAATACTTAAGTTTATAATTGTGGCAAAGACTTATATGGGTGCTTATTTAACCTATAAACATTTATTATGTAATCTATAAACATTTATTGTGTACATATTATGTATGTATGCAACACTCGTGGAAGCAGCAGTGAAGAAATCAAAAGACACATTGCACTGGGTAAATCTGGTGACCTCTTTAAAGTCCCAAAGAAGGCAGTTTCAAGACTGAGGTGCACCTGATCCAAGCCATGGTATTTTTCAGTTATTTCATATGTACCTGAAAGTTGCACAATAAGTATGAAAGATGTGCTCCTTCCAGGCAAGGATGGGGGGACTTCACTGTATACATGTGGCATGTTGTCTGGAGGGGCTAGACCCTGGAGAAGGATATCATGCTTGGGAAGGCGGAAGGTTGGTAAAGGAGAGGAAGACTCAATGAGGCAAACTGACAACGTGACTGCCTTGAATACAGAGGAGATTGTGAGGAAGGCGCAGGAATAAACATTATTTAGAGCAGTGGTACAGTGTCACAATGAACCAAGTTGACTTAAAGGCTCTGAAGGCAACAACTTACTGTTTGTGTCAGAATCTGGTATTCTCACTAGGGACACAGAAGAGAACCAGGCAACATCAAGTTCCTGTCCTCCTGGAATAAGGGAGACAAACCAGATATATGCATGTCAGGCAGTGACAATTACTATGAAAACAAACAACAGAACAATGGAATGCAAAGAGGTGCAACTCTCTTAGGTAGGGTCTTCAGAAAAGACTTGTCCATGTCATTGTTGCTAGGTGCTGTTGAGTCCAGTACAACTCATAGCGACCTTATGAACAGTGGATATGAACCCCATTACATCCTGTGCTATCTCCAAACTTTCTGACACACTAGAGTCTATTCATAGGGTTTTCGGAGACTTGTTATTTAAGAAGTGGATGGCCTGCGTACCCATGTTCACAATAGCAAGGAGTTGGAAACAACCTAAGTACCCATCAACAAGTGAATGGATAGAGAAGTTGTGGTATATTCACACAATGAACTAATATACTGCATTGAAAAACAAGGAACTCATGCAGTATTATTCAAAATGGGTGACCCTGGAGGACATTATTCTGAGTGAAATATCTCAGTCACAAAAAGACAAATACTGCATAGAGCCACTATTGTAGAATGGGACTGACACCAGGGTTGGGGTAAGACTGAGAAAAACTGGATAAATTATGTATACTGCATTGAAACAGAGGAGGGAGAGAACAGTTTAAAAGTGATATTTGATAGAGTATTGTGGTTATCACAAGAGTCCAGAATGAAAGTTGCATAGTGGAGTGGGGGGAGGGGGAACGGAGGGATTGTATACCAATGAAGGAATTTTTCTTTTACTTTTCAAAGAGAAGAGCGAACTGGGGGGAGAGGTGGGCAGGGAGAATAGTGCAACAATGAATGAATGGAAAGCTAAAATCTCTGTAAATGTTCATTAAAGTTAATAAAATAAAAAAAAATGGCTGGCCAATCTTGTTTCCTACCTAGTCTGTCTGAATCTGGGAGCTCAACAACAGAATACAAAGAGATGCAATACTCTTAGCTAGAGAAAAGACTTCTTAATAAAGTTGATATTTGAGCAGAGACTTAAAGAAAGAGGAAGGTAAAAATGACTACTGGTTGCTCGTGCTTGAGGTGAACAAATTAGATTTGAGATGATAAAAGTGAGTGAACTGGGAGGTATTAGGCTTCTTAAGTAGGAAAGTGGTGAGGCAAATGGATGACAATGTAAGAGAGATTTGAGGTATCATCAATTCAATATTAAATTCTAATTCTTGGTTTCAATTTTATTTTCTTCTTTTTTCCAATTTGATTTTCTTTTATTAGAGTTCATCATGTGACAGGTACTGTGTCAGGATCTGGGGATCCAGAGATGAATAAAACTATTCTGCAGGTAGATTTAGGCAACGTAATGGAACTCTAAATGGTGTTATACCAGAGAGCACTCTGCAGGTTGAGAGGGTTTGGGAAGAGGTAGTCTCAGATCCGAATTCCCGAAGCCAGAACTGTGATTCTCAGCTTGGAGGCGGGGCGTGTGACGCCACGGCGCATCACAAAGAGAGGTTTTCTGCGATGGCCACGCCCCGGCGGCGCGGAGGCCCCACCCACCCAGAGGAGGGGCGGAGGCGGGCCGGTGCCCCACCGTGAGCAAGCGGCGCCCTCTGCGGGTCGGAGGCGGCGAATTACCGGTAGACTCATCTTCCCTCCCACCTCCCGCCTTCCTCGGGCCACATTTTCGGGTTGTGGTTTCCAGTGTCCGGCTTCCGTCCCTCCTCCTCTCTCCGGTGGGCGTGTCAGTGTCGTCACGCGAAGACCGCCAATAAACTTTCCTCTTTTCTCGCTCTCAGGCTTGCCGCCTCGACTCGCGTACCGCGAGATCTTGCAGCGTGTGTACCATGGCGGCGACGTTGGATACCCCCGCCGCCTTAGCGACCGTGGAAACGGCTGTCCCGGGCGAGCCGGTCCCGGCTCCGGAACCAGCCCCCGGGCCGGCTCGCAGCCTGCGGACGGCTCACGACGTCGGCGGCCCGCCGACCCGCACGGGGGACGTGCTGCTGGACGAGCCGGGGGACTTCGAGTCGCTGCTGCTGTCGCGGCTGGTGCTGGAGGGTTTGCGGGCCGCCGGCTTCGAGCGGCCCTCGCCGGTGCAGCTCAAGGCCATCCCTCTGGGGCGCTGCGGCCTCGGTGAGGACGGAAGTCCTGGGGACCGGGGCGGGACCCGGGAAGGGGGTCCCGGGCGGTGGGACCTGGAAGAACCCCGGGTCACTCACGGGTCCCGACCATGGCTTTGAATCTGGCGCTTGCACGAGTCTCACTTTCCGCTTTTTTTTTTCCTTTTCTTTTTTTTTCCAGGATAAACTTTATTCTCTTGGCAGTCCATTGTATGTTCAGTACTCTTTTCCCACATCACAACTCTCAAAGCCATCAATTTTTCTGTCATCTTTGGTCATTGTCTAGCTCTCTGATTCATAGCAAGTAATTGTAAAGATTATGGCCTGAATCAGGCATACCTTAGCCTCCAGACTGACATCATTGTCCTTCAGCAATTTTTAAAAAATTATTATTAAATTTTATTTTAGTGAACATTTATAGAGATTTTGGGTTTTCATTCATTCATTGTTGCACTGTTTTCTCTACCTACCCTCCTCCCCAGTTCGTTCTTCGCCCCCGTGTCTGTTTTAATTGTCCAATTGCCACAGTGCTTGTCAAAGCCAGTTCTGATTAATCTCCTTTGTCAGTGTGCCCTTTGCCATTCCCTATCTCTCCTCCCTGAGAGACTTCACCCTGATTCATAAGGAAAGGGGGATGGCGTATTCTCTTAGCTACTTCCTGTTGAAAAGGAACGCTGTAGGTTTTAGGGTGAAGATCTTCTCTTACTACTCTAAGGGGCCCTTTTGGCAATAGGAAACACATAGACTATTATGGAGATTGATTTTGGAATTTAGATTCACTGTTAACAATTGTGCTTAGCCGTGCATGTTCATATCCTTGAAGATGTATCATGGAAGTGTTTGCAGCCTAGAAGACACAAATTTAACTAACAAGTTAAAAGTACATGAGTAAAAAATTAAAAAGCAATAATATTCCGAGTAGAGGTTCT